TTATGCTTCCCTCCCATCCCCCAGTAGACCCCCAACTCCCCCACTAGGTCCCCCATCCTGACTTACCTGATATTGGGCAGTCATTTTGAATCAATTTAATATCCCCCTAATGCCCCTGCATGTCTGTAATTAGCCTTTAAATTTGTTTTGTATTTTGTTTTTTAGCTGCATGAGAAATCTCACCAAAAAAAATCAAGGTAGTGTTAGTTATTTTGCTGCCAGAGCCAAAAAAAATCAAGGTAGTGTTCGTTAGGCTACTTAAGGTCAATCTTTTTTCCAGAAATGCCAAATTACTCTCTGTGCACTCTGTGAGTGCCACTCCAATCCCCTTCCCCTGCCTGTTCTGCTGCTCTATTTTCTGTTCCTGTCCAGTCTGCTGCTGGTGTATTGCTTGCCCCTTCTCCTGCATGCCACACGCACAAGCTGCCCGTGCCACTTGTGGCACTCTGCTCAACATGACTTGTTGATTGCCACCTGCATATCTATAATCATTACTAATTAGCTTGAAGTGCAGATTTGTTGTCTTCAAGATGTTTTGCATAACCAATCAATTAAGAAAATTACAGAAGCTGAAGTACTTGGCACACATCCCAAGGCAAGATCTAGTGGAATAATTGATTTGTTTACAACACAGGACAAAAAAAGAGGATATGAAAGACTGCAAAATGAGAAATACATTGACATGATCAAGTTAAATAAGCTTGCATCTGATGAGAGGCAGCTGCATAAAAAGGAGTATCTACTGAAACCTGTTAGGTAGTTGAACAGAAAATAGAGAGTAACAGTGACAGTAACTGCAGCTCATGTAGAACTTAACATATAGTTAGTTCTGGGGCTGCTGGAAGAGTAGCTGTGCTAGCATGGAGGTCCTAATGACTAATCAGGCAGGCTTTTAGCAGGAGGTGTTAAAACAGTGCCCTGAAACTTAGGGTTTTGCTGTTTATTACATACTACTCATTTAAAAAAATTAATCTGTTTTTATAATTTATGTTTTTTATTGTAAGCCACCCTGAGTGTGTTCAGGGGAGAGTGGCATGTAAATATAATAAATAAATAAAAA